CACGTGACGCAGCAGGTATGGAAGGATGCAATGGAATGTTTATATTCGCGACAGCGTATCAGCCCCAATCCCAAAGACAGTGCTAACAAGGCTTCCTTTGGTAATCATCCGTGGCCTGTATACGACCGATCAAGAGACGTGTACGGTGATGATCGTTTCATTATCCTGTATGCTATGAGCCAGGTGCATCCACTTGAGGTACAAACACCTACCTTAGGCTCTAGTAGAGACGGTGAGAGTGGATTCGCAGAATCAAACACCATACATTGGCCTGGGTGTCGCACCACCAGGTATACCTCCGTGTTCGCTAACTCGGCAAGCTGCTTTGCTTTTCGAAAGACCGTGTCTGTGCGACGACAGACCCGGGGGTCTTGCGAATGAATGCGATTGGCTTTGCCAGTTCCATCGTGTACGTGGTACGTTGATCGAGCGCGCTGGCACGATTAGCAAGGACAGTCGCAGCCGGCAGAAGACTTTAACCTACGTCCTGGGGTTCGGGAGTGCAATGTATAGGGGGCGAGAATGGGAAAGACTCCAGGGAGCTATGACGCCGGAGCGCGTCGTTTGCGATGCTTGATTCGGGCGCGACTTCGTCGACTCGTTGAAGTATATCATAAAGTTGCTGCTGACGCATCCTGACAAACTTTGCTGGTCGCTTGCGTATAAGGCTTGGCGGCGGCGCTAGGCAAGTCGGAGGCGTGGTCCGGATGCGGGGGGGTGGGAGCGGCTCCAGATTAAGGCGTGGGGGTGAGCTTGGCGTGCTGAACCGCGAACGTTCTGTACTGGAGGCACTCACAGCGCTGTCGACGCAGGATGGTTCGCTTGATGCCATGTTGTTTGACAATAAGGGCCAATAAGGAAGATTGGGAAGAGTTGTCTGGGGTTGAGGACACTGGACCTTGGGGCTGTTGCCGCATTATATCACCTAAAAGTTCGTGATCCTAAAGACGGTATTCGGTAACTTTGTAGATACAGGCTGCTCAACACGTATCTCCTGTCAACGGAATCGCGTTGCAGGTGATCGCCGCATTTTCGCATGTTGGTCTACGTAGCTTCGCGTTTCTGGGTCCATATAATTGGTGCTCGAAGCGCTGATGTTACACCGAAGTCTCCATAGCAGAACCCAGATAAGCGGCCCCAACCGCCGAATGCCCTACGCCACATTCCCACGTCGCTGTACATCACAAAGATCGTTCTGAGAGCGCAAAGCCCTCCATAGCCGCTGCTGTGCCTTAACACTCGCCGCATTCCCGTATGATCGTTTGCGCGGTCGTGAAGGTACTGTTAGACGCTGCTGCTTTGGCGCTGCCTTGCTTCCGACGAGACCGAATGGCGGGATCCATAGACCTCACTCGCATGCTGCTATAGTGCCTGAGCCTAGCCGGTCGTTGCACTGCGGATGAAGGGTTGAGACCCCCTGCCATCATGACTGATGGAAACGGAGAGTGGGTTTGGGAACCCGGTAGCCGTGTTCGAGTGCCTCGAAACGGGTACCTCGATTCAAAATCTCGACTTCGCACGCAGTGGAATGCAATGCCATCCCATACATATTTGCGGACTAGCCGGTCCTAATTTCCTAATCCTACAGTTATGGCATCTCAGCAGCAATCACAGGTGCTATCCTACTCGAAGGCAAGGCGAGCGGCAAACAACAACTACCTGAAGCTATGCAATACCCTCTACGAAAAATTGGCCAAGTTGAGCCTCGAATACAACACCCGCCTCTATTTCCTAGCATATCGCAACGGCCGATTCAACGGATTCGTATCGATAGATGAGACAGGCCAGCCTTGGTCACCTCCAAGTCAAGAAGCTCTTGTAAGTCCCTCTCCATTTATAAATAGCAAACGTTAACTCCTGTAAGGAGAAATCATACCCTCCGCCAGTAATAAAGACTCCAGCTCATTGCCGTCGAGCTCAACGAGGACGAGTGAAGGTGACCTTCTGCAAAGTGATTTCACAGGAACCTTCGACCAAATTTGGCGCTGATACGAATTACGTCATGGCTAAGGCTAGATCTGATGGGAAAGGCAGTGCAGGGGCCAAGCAGTAGATTCAACGTACTCTAATCTATCAAATAGCACAATATCAAACGAGCTCGTTCTTTCTCTTTTTCGCTGGTGCGTGATCGTCCTTATAATCCTCAGGTTTCCTGTTCAAGTTCCTCGCTATGAACATACATTTATTTCCTGTGTCGTCAAGCCAGTCGCTCATCTTCGATAAAATCTGGTTGACCCTGCTGATTTCTTGTTCGAGCTCACGAATTTTGGCAGTTTTGTAGGCGAGTTCTCGCCGCAGATTATCAACTAAAGCATCTCTTTCCATCTCCCCTGACAGAGTTAGCAACGCTTAGAGTATTCGTAGTATACAGTACTTACCAGATGGATCATGCGGGGATGACGGCCCTATCTCCTGGTTTTTTGCACACTTTCCTTTCCCATTCGCGTCGCTACTTCCTAAATGACTCTGCTGATTTATCACCGACTAGATGTTTATGTCGTATTAGTGATATACCTGAGCGGATTGTAGTTAACATGTCGCACCTCTTCCATCGTGCCAATTCCCTTTGAGCAGTTAGTTCCTATAGTACGTAGAGCAGTCTACATCGTCAGCAGCTCTCTAGGAGGTTCTTGGTCCCTACACACCATGTCCTTGTACAGATCGGGGTCTTCCACGGTGGACTCTGAGCCACTCATCCTTTAAGATTGTAAAGAGGATAGATAAAGTGTGGACGAAGTAGATGAATTGTAGACGAAGTAGATGAAGTGGATAAAGTGTAGACGAAGTAGGTGAAGTGTAAACGAAGTGGGTGTAGTGTAGACGAAGTGAATGAAGTGTAGACGAAGTGGATGAAGAGGGATCAGATAGCTTGCTGGGGGTACGAAGCCCTTTATATACCCCTTCTCTCGCCTCTCTGCAGGCGAGAGAGCACAAGGCACACTCATACGCCTCGACCGTCTGATGCCCGGCTTCCGTGGCGCGTTATCTTTTCATGCATACCCCCTGTGCCTACCCGACAAGGGCGTGTGATACCATTCCTGGTGCGACGAGGTTGCAGGCGGCCGAATCGATAGGTATGGGAGGCACCTCCACCGCCAACTCATCCTTCGATGTCTCAGCTCAGCGGTGCAGGCATGCAAGTCCGAAGCCACCTCAGGCTTGAATGCTTTCCCACCGTTCACGGCGGTGTTAGCTACGCCCCAAGAGCTAGCAAGGGGGATTCATGCCAAGTTTCTCTTAGAGAAGCAAGTAGCTATTCACGGCTCCTAGCTGGAGAACACGATCGAATCGATCCGCAGGTTGGGGCCTATTCCCAGCGTTTATGACCCTACACTGCAACGAATACGGCGTCTGTGAGCCATACAGCCCCTAGGAATACGGAACTTTTCCCTTATGCGTCTGATGGCGCCCTCAATATGCCCTCCCCCCCAAGGATTCGTCTACGGTGTGGTTACGTGCGGATACACGGAGACGCCGCCCCTGACACCGCCGCAAAGTCGCTGCCCAGAACCTCCCCACTTTCCACCCTTGCTAACGGCTGTGCTGAAAGGCCACCAAGGATGATGATGGTAAGACATCAGTGGAGCTTCGTTAATGCGGCGCTTCCATTACGAGGCACTGAACAGCCACGACGGGCAGACCCCTGGAGTCCAGCGGATAAGAAGGCATCCTCCCGCACCAAAGCTCAGTACATCGTCTCCTCGCAAACATGGCCCTCGTTCTTCATATCGGCTTCCTCCTTTGCTTTTCAGGTGGACTTCTGCTCAGCATTGCGCTCGCATACCACGATGCTCCGCGCAAAAGCACCAGGCATGACTACTTCTGGGGGAGGGCTATAACTGCCCTCTCCGATATCTGTCAAGTAGGCTTGTCTGTTGCTGGTATAGTAGCGATCGTGATTGCCCGTATCACGAAGACTGAACCTTACTGGCTAGACGCAGTTATTCTATGTACTCTTCAGCTTTTCGCCGGCACAACGGTAAGAATACTCACTCAATGGTTCGTTCACGAACTGATATTACAGGTAGCTCGCTAGGACGCTCATCCATATGAGCTTTTCCCATTGGGCTGTAGGGTTAGCATATCTTTATACAGTCTTGACTGTACCTGACATTGCCTCCTACATAAAGTAAGAGCCCTTCACAATGTTAACCTTTCGAATATTCTAATTCTAATTAGGGACAAGAATACGTGCTTCGCTTACGAATCCGCAATGCTTTCTCGCGTTGCAATAGCGCCGTTTACGTCTTTGATAGCTTCGCACAGTGTTCTAGAGAAGCATAAGGCTTCAGGGTCACAGTACAACCGTGAAAGCAAATTCGTGCGCTTGCTAGTAGTGTTCATCGTTGTAAACGCAGTTGCAGCGTTGTGCCAGATGAGCGGAGCGGTTATCCTTTACAGTCTTTCGCTTGCCAACAAAGAAATCAGCACCAACTTGCACCAGGGAATATTTCTAGTATGTCTTCAACTTCTTAGATTACATCATCTAATATAGGCAGGCCTGTATAGTTGCACAATTAGTGAATCTTTTCACATTTTGCATGGCTAGTATTAAGCGCCGAATTATTGAGCCTGTTAGAGCTCAAATACGCAGTTCACGCTCAACGCTCCTAAGGAATGACGATGTTGAGGGAGCAGTACGACTATCCAGTCTATGAAATACTGTAGGATTTGATAGCGACGATGCAAATAGTTAGTGGCTGCGGTCACGAAATAGAAACAATGTACAATAAAGTCTGCAAGCAATACGTATACACTATGGTAATAAACTTCCCTAGTATAGGGAAAATCTTTCCTAATATAGGGTAGTCTACTTCCTTAATATAGTGCAAAACTACCCTATACTAGGGAACTCAAATCCCTATTTTAGGGAAGATTTTCCCTATACTAGGGGGTTATTTACCCTCTATTAGGGAAGATATATATAATATACTTTTTAGAAGGATAGATAGTAATAGAATTCCTACTATTACAAAAAGTAAAAGAAAAAGTCAAAAAAGTAGACAGGCTAGGAATCGAACCTAGGTCAGTCCGTGAGGCCATTGCAACATACATGCATTGTATGTTGCAATGGCCTCACGGACTGCTTTACCACTAAGCTACCTGTCCAATAGAGTAAGATTTCTTAAGCTAGAGACACGAAAATTTAATTATATAGTATATCTTATATAATTAAATTTTGCGTGTCCCTAGCTAGAGTTAGGTGTTTCAAGCCTAGTATAAGAAGAAACGGTAGGTAGCGGTAAAAAGCGTAGGCAGTAACAGGAAGTGTATATAGTAACAGGAAGTATAGGCGGTAATAGGAAGTGTAGGCGGCAACAGGAAGCGTAGGCAGTAGTAGGATAGGTACTCCAGCCAGATACATCCTAAATTTAATTATATAACTACTACTATACGACTAAATATTATATATAGCTAGCTGGAGTTACTTAAATATTGTTGGAGACGAAAGAAGAATTTGATCGTATTAAAGCTCTAATATAATTAAATTCTTCCTGTAGCGAGATCTAGAGCTGCTATACATTTGTAGTAAATTAACTCCTAAATATACTCCTAAATCTATCTTTGCTTCGAAGTCTACTCCTAAATTTACCCTAGAAAATTATATATAGAATTATTTCCGGACTCCTAAAAAGTAGTAAAACAATACCCTAATTAGGGAAGTCGATTCTTCCCTATATTAGGGAGAACTAGTTCCGTAGTAATACTCAGCGCTCCGCAAATCAGTACATGGACGACACGGGATACCGGGAGCCTTAGTCCAAGTGCGAGACCTGTAACAATAAATGCTATACCCAGCTGTCCATTAATCAGCATATAAACGTCCTAAATCACCAGAAGATTCCAGACTACGAATGCCTTAGAGATGGTGTGTTTTCCGTGCGACCCTTGGCCCTTACTTGCAATCTCCCTCGCAAGTCGGAGATGTTACTGACTGTCGTAAGCACCGCAATTCGGCCTAATCACGCCTTATATCAATCTCAACCGTCTCCCGAGCGTAAGGCTTAGAAACCATCAAGACTGGGCTAGATACTCAACATGCTACCACTCATGTACTTAGCAAATGAGAGATGCCTACGTTATCTTGGTGTCGTGGTGCCCGTTCAGCAGAACGATGTACATGCACGCTTTAAGATGTCTCTCTCGCATATTTTTAGACACGTTGCGGGGATTAACATTAAGCAGTAGACCTTCTTCTTCCAAATTAGAACCCACGACAGTAATGTCTACATGCTCATCGTCGCATCTGCACTTTAGCTTAATCTTTCGAACCAGAGTATAGTTCTTGACGCTGCCGTCTACCTCTATACTAAGACGCAAACCCAGGAAGAAAGCATGTAGCCTTTCTCTAAGGATAACACCTCCCAAATTGTTGTCTCTGTTAACGAGCTTGTTTTGTGGAAGAGAGCCATACGGGCGTTCATGGAACGTCGCGACTGGGCACATTCACCTTCGTGCGAATACAGGGACCCAGAACAGCTTATGTGTTCATGTGGCCGGGGGAAATTCCCAGTAGGTTATGGACTTCAATAGGTCAAAGATGAGGATGTCCTGGAGCATTGTGCTCGCGCTGCAATCGCGCCTTACTTTCCTATCTCGGACATGGATCGGATAAGCCACGTCAGAGACTCACAGACGTTACATGTGGAACGGGATCCTCCCGATAAGGGGTGTGTCGTGAACTAAACTCACGCTCAAGACTGTAGGAGAGGAATTGTAAGGAGTAGCTTCAATGAAATGGTATTAATACATGACGATTGGAGATCAGGGTATTTGTAACGGTTAAGTCCTGCACGATCACCGTCACACTAATGACACACTCCGTGTACATCCAGTGCATGCCTCATGAAATGCCCCATCCCAACTAACTTCTCCGAACAAGATGGGTGTCGACAGACAAAATCACCCTGATACTGGGGATCGTTGAAATGCACCTTCACGTGCTTTGTGAGGACGTCTTTTCGTGGGATATGACGCATACGCCATTCGTAGGAGACGTCCTCTCTACCTATGCAGAAGAGGCATACGGGATATGGGAGTATCGTCGGGTACAGATGCTGAAACTGGATATCGGCCGTTCCTTCGCCTCGCGATACAATGGGTTCACACTTCTCAAGCCTAATATCCAGCCTTGTCGACTTGCTCAGGGATCCATCCACTTTCGAGGACGACACCAAGTCCTTTAGACAGTGATTCTTCCGTTTGCGCGCCTTTGGGTGAGGGGTTTCCTGGAGGCGGCACAGTCGAACCAAAGTGTAAATATATCGGATGCGAGCGTGGTCATTCATGAGAGGCTTGGCGAGCATGTTAGCCACAGTAGCACGCTCTCGAAGTTCGAATTCCGGGCTTGGCAGAGTTAAGACCTCAGTTACAGGCTTCCCACTGAGCTGCTTCTCTATCTCAATCGCATCAATCGAGTCGTGGAAGGTTGTGATCGCCTCTTTCAATCGCTCCCTGCGCAGCTTCTCCGTGGTGCTGCCGATCTTACGGATGGTCGCCTCGTAGTCTGCGTAGAGTGAAGTTCCTTGAGCCCGAACGAGTGGCCGGAAGCCTTGGCTATATAGCTCGTGCTTGCGGGCATCCCTTTCCTCGCGGAGTTCCACAAGCAGCGGATGGTTGCGCACATCCTTTTGTTGCGCGTCGTCCAGTTCGACTGGCGCACGCCGATCTCGAGAGAGGCCCATTCTTGCAACAGACCGAATCAGGTCTTCTTGAGAAGGTGTACCGAAATAGATTGACTGGAAGTCGCGTGCAATATGCGTCGGCGTATAATATCTCTCGTAGGTCTCACTGCTATGACCCATAGCCTGGTTTCGGCTCGTGGTAGGAAGAGCCTCTAGCAACTCATATCAGCCTTGGCTCAATGAATGAAGTCGTGCGCAAGGATCGCCTACCGTTGATTTTGTCCCCAGAAGCTCGTCGTAGTTGGTAAAGCTCAACATTCGATTCGAATCCTGCAACGCGCCCTAGTCGGACGAAAATTTCCCGATACTTCCAATAAGGGAACGCCGACGGTAGAAGGGCGCGACCACCCTCAACCGTGCTTTGAACGTTGCAGAAGAAAGGCTTGTCTAACATGTCCTCTTTCCATCTGATACGAAGTACCTCACGTTCTGCTGGTATCTTGAGATCGAATATCTGCTGAATGGTGGTGAAGTCATCGTGGAATGCATCCTGCCTGAAGCCGATGGCTACTAAATGCGACACTATGCAGTACGCAGGCAATCCCTCGAGGTGAAATGTGAATTTCTTTCTACAAGTCGGAGAACGAATTAGCAAGGCACGATGATCTTTCTTCACAGTGACGTACGGTGTCCCGTCTCTCTCCTTGTTCTTGACGTGCACCAGGTTCACGTTCGCCACAAGAACGCTTCGTTTGGGATCCGTGAGGCTGGGAACCTTTATAAGCGACACATCTCGGAAGCAGAGCGCTTTGTTGCTTCCTTTGTTGCTTGCACTCTCGACGAGCGCGCCTGGCCGTGTAGCGGTAGCTGCGCTCAAAAGGAGGAGCGCTGAAATCTGCACGCGGATCAAGCCGTGCAATGGCTTTTTATCGTCGACCCATAGAGCATGCAGAATGGCAAAGAGGTCTTGGACATACATGGCCAGCTTCTCCTTCTTCGACCTGTCTAGTTCAAGCTCAGGTATCCACTACGTTGGGTCAGGTATTGGAAAAAACCGGATGCGAGATTTCATGGGGCTGACGAACTCTGCGAACGTCCTTAAGGACCTTGTTTGCCATTGCATGGCCCACAACGTGATCGTAATACATGCTGATCCGCTTCCAATAGGCTTCGATTGCACTTTCCTTCTTGATTCGAGAATGCTCTGTTCGCCATTCCAGATACGTCTTGAAGACTGCTGGGTCGCATCTGCGCAACTGGTCCTTCGGAGACAGCCTTGTCTCTTCCTGGACCATGAGGCAGTAACTAAGCATGGTCAGACTAAGTCACGTCAACAGCTCCCGTGATGCTTGCCTTTTCCAGAATTTGCTTTCCGTCTTCCACAGTTCCTTCGTTTTATCAGAGTGCCTCGGTTTCGCCGGACCTTGCTTCTGATGGTAGGCTATTCTCTTCAGTATCGCATCCGCCTCAGAACCCGGTATGGCAGCACGCTCTCCATCTCGCTCTCTTTCCAAGTCGATGCCGCTGTCTCTGGAACTAGCGGTTTCTGCGTCAGCTGGCGATCCAGCATCCGTATCCGAGCTCAAGTGTGCGACTGAATCGAGATCTCCGTCGAGGACGAAACTGGAACCACAGTCTGACGAGGGCGTTGCGAGGGGTGACGGGCTTTCATAGTTCGGTACGGCGATCGAGGTGGGAGGGATATTGCGGCATCGTCTCTTCATTCTGTTGGTGGCGATAGCAGGGACCGCTACAGTCACGGCGCGGGTAAATCCAGATCTGCGGCCACGTCGAGCCATGGTCGTCGCGTCGCAGCAGGTTTGCGAAGTCGAGGTCGACGGCTGGAGATCCTAGGGTTGCGTTGAAGAGAATGAGTGCAGAGGGGACAAAGACCTGGCAGGAGGGCCTTATATAGGGCTGTTCGAAGAGATGCCTGCGGCGCAGGAAATGGAGGGTCATCATGTCTGGTCCAGCGGCGTCGCTCGCGGCGGCGCTTAGTCTCGAGCACGATGATGAGGGGAAGTGAGCCTGATGAGGCGTGGTCATCAGCGAGCTCTGTGCCGGTACCCCCTGTCCAGGCACCGTCTTGGCGACTGGGGTTGACGCTAAAGCAGCGAGCCTTTGAGGGCTAAGCGAGGTGGAAACGCCGCCAAAAGCGGCGGCCAATGACCTCCAAAAATGGACGCATTTCCACGACCACTTGAATATTTTTAGTTATTTCTTCTATATACTTAGCAATTTCTTTATTCTAATCTTATATAGTTTATTATATTATTACTATTATCTTCTATAGTTCTATTAGCTTCTACTAAGCTTTAACTAGCTATTTTTAGGCCGACTTAGTTCTAGAAGCTAGGGTTACTATTAGTGTAGCTGCCCTCTATTCTAATATAGACAAGATAGTAGATATATTATTATTAATAGTATATTAACTTATAGGTAGCTAAATATTATAATTTAGGGTAGGTTAGAACTATAATTATT